AAGGGCGGGAAGAAAGCCTTTAAAATGAAGGCAAGTTCAAGAGAATAGATATCCGTATCTCCCCATGTGCTCCGTTTCGCCAAAACAAGACCCTTGTGTTTTTCTTTTCCACCAAAAAGAGGCGCCAGGTGTTATCTGGGGGGGGGGAAAAGTCATGTGCGTCACCCCCGCCTCCTTTTCTCTGTCAGAGGCCTTCAGGAATTTCTTCTGCGGCCGCCAAGGCTTTTCTGAAGGCCTCTGCAGCTGATAACAGAGTTCTGGATTGATCCGGGGCTTTGTCATCAGCTACGGAAGCCTTCAGAAAAGCCTTGCCGGCTGCAGAAGAAATGGGACGGCAAGGCAGGTGTTAGGGTGTGCGAGGCCTGGCGGCAGCTGTCCAAAGGTAAGCAGGAGGGCAGCTCCATCCCCACCCTAGCTTAATTTTTACCCGACCACTCTGGAGTGGGTGGGATCTTAATTAGGGCTTATTTTGGTGTGTGTGTGGGGGGGGTAGGGCTGATATTGGGTGCACGTGTAAAAAAATCAAGCTAGGACTTACTTTTCGGGGTTGGTGGTATTTTGGGGGAAACAGGGTATTCCTGTTTGGCTGTCTTAGCGGCTTTCCATAAAACTGGCAACAGGTGTCCACCTAGAAATTTACAATGGCCCAAGAAATAGGGCTTTGTTCAACAATGCCAGGCTGGGCTGTCGGTTTGTGTTGATTTCCTGGGCCCGCAACAGTTCTAGGCAACCTGGGTGAAGGGAAATAAGACCTTAAATTGAGCCCATGTCTATTTCTTCTCCCCCCCCCCACCTTGTTGAGAGGAGCGTGAAACATTTTAAGTTCATTCTGGGTTTAATTTATTTCATTTTAAGCTTACTTATGCGGATCCCGCCTTTGTTATTTTTGACACGCAAGTCCTTCCTCCTACTGCGTTAGGCTGAGAGAGGGGAACCGTCCAACTGGCCCAAGGCCATCCAGGTGGCTTTCATGGGCTAAGACGGGACTAGAACTCCCTGTCTCCTGGTGAATGGGCTCAAAGTCACCCAGCCGGCTTTCGCGCCTAAGGCGGGACTAGAATTCCCAGCCTCCCACTTTTGATCGTCTGGTGCCTTCACCCTTAGACCGAACTGGCTCTCCGAGGAAAGTTTGTGAAACGCATATTAAACGTTTGGGTTTGACTCCTTCCTGAGCGGGGGGGAAGGAGGGTCACCTTGTCCGTTCACCCTAGACAGGTGAGTGGACCTGGTGACAGCCTCCTCCCCCTCCTCTCTTTCCCTCCCTCCCTCCCTGCAGAGAGAGGCTCAGGTCAAGTTTCACGTCCTCCTGACGTCCTACGAGCTGGTCACCATCGACCAGGCTGCCTTGGCCTCCATCCGGTGGGCCTGCCTTGTGGTCGATGAAGCTCACCGGCTCAAAAACAACCAGTCCAAGGTGAGAACGGCGGGTTTTCCCAAGTGGGGGGGGAGGGAGGGAGGAAGAGGAGGGGGGGGGAAAGGCGGCTGAAGGGCCCCTTGATCGCTCTCCGCTCTCGATTTCAGTTCTTCAGGGTGCTCAACGGTTACAAGATCGACCACAAGCTGCTCCTGACGGGGACACCTTTGCAAAACAACCTGGAGGAGCTCTTCCACCTGCTGAACTTCCTCACACCTGAGAGATTCAAGTACGCCCCCCTCCCCCCCCCCCGCTTTCTTTCCTTCGGCTTCCGAACTCAGAATAGACCCGGAAGCAGGGGTGGGCCTCAAAAATTTTTAGCGAGGGGTTCTCTGCCTGGCGGCTGGGTGGGCGTGGCCATGATGGGCGTGGCCTAGTCGGCCTCCTGCATCACAGCGGTGGGGGGGCTGTTTTCATCCTCCTCAGGCTCCGGAGGCTCTTTGGAAGCTGGAAACAGGCCCATTTCCGGCCTTCCCGAACTTCCGGGAGGGCCGTTTTTCGCCCTCCCCGAGCCTCTTGCGCACCCCCTGCACTTAACCTGCATCCAAAACGGGCCACGTGGGGACTCCGGGGAGGGAAGGGGTGGGTGAGAGAGAGAAGCAGTGAGATTTCTGCCTTCCCCCTTCTCCTTTCTTAGAGATGGAGAATAAAAACAGGCCCGTTACTTCCCCTCTCTTAATTACCAGGTAGTCCTAGGGGTTAGATCTTAGAGGCCTCCAACCTTGGCAACTTTAAGACTTAACGGACTTCAACACTCAGAATTCCCCAGCCAACCAGGCTGGGGAATTAACAGAAGAGCAGAGTTGGAAGGGACCTTTGGAGGTCTTCTAGTCCAACGCCCTGCCCAGACAGGAAAAAACAAAACAAATGGCCGTCCAATTTCTTCTTAAAAACCTCCAGTGTTGGGGTACCCACGACTTCAGGTGGCAAGCAGTTCCACTGGTGAATTGTTCTCCTCGTCAGGAAATTCCTCCTTAATTCCAGGTTGCTTCTCTCCTGGATGAGTTTCCATCCGTTGCTTCTTGTCCTGCCTTTTGGGGCTTTGGAGAATAGGTGGGACCCCTTCCTCTTTTGGGTGGCGGCCCCTCAAATACCAGAATTCTGCTGTCAGGTCACCCCTAGTCCTTCCTTTCGCGAGACTAGACAATCATAATTCCTGCAACCATATGTTCCTATGTTTCTAGTAATAAACTGAATTTGATGCAGTATTGAGGCTGGAACGATGGGCTACCAGCTCCGAAGGTGGTTTTAGCCTCCAGTCCCCTAATCATCTTCTCCTCAACTCTTTCCAGAGTCTCAAACCTCTTTTTTTAATATTGTGCTGACTTGGGAAGTTGAAGTCCAACAAATCTTCAAGGTTGCCAAGGTTGGACACCCCTGAATCCTAGAAGGAAGCAGGGGTATTCTTGCCAACAAAAAATAACTGGATACCTTTGCAACACTTGAAGGGACCCTGCAAGAGCCCATCACTCCTTGGTTGTGTCACCTGGGTATGTGTGCAGTGCGGACGTGACTTGGGGGAAACTTTAACAATTGATTCTGTTTCACAAAGTTTTGTGTCTAGCAAAACTGCTCCCTCTCCTGGCCAGATTGGGTATAGCCGACACTCTGGTGTTTCTGTCCACTTGCCCTGCGTTGTTGTTGGTCCTTCAGATCCTTTTTTGTCTTAGAAGGTTTTAGGGACGATGCCTCCTGTCGCATGGCAGCGATTTGCTTAACAACCAGGGCAAAAACAAAAAAGACGGAAAGATGGATCTTGACAGACTTGAACCCTGGGCCCTCTATCTAACAAAATGAAATTCAGTGTAGAGAAAAGGAAAGTCCTACACTTAGGCAAGAAAAACCAAATGTACACATATAGACTGGGTGAAACCAGGCTCAGTAGAAGTAACTGGGAGAGGGATCTTGGAGTCTTAGTGGACAACCTGCTAAATAGGAGCCAGCCGTGTGCAGCAGCAGCCAAAAAAGCTAATGCAATCCTAAACTGCATTAATAGAGGGATACAATCAAGATCAAGGGAGGTACTAGTACCCCTCTATAAAGCCTTAGTAAGACCACACCTAGAGTCCTGCATCTAGTTTTGGTCACCACATTATAAAAAAGATGTTGAGACTCTAGAAAAAGTGCAGAGAAGAGCAACCAGGATGATGAGGGGAGTGGAGGCTAAAACCTACAATGAATGGTTGCAGGAACCGGGCCTGGCTAGTCTAGGGAAGAGAAGGTCCAGGGGAGACAGGAGAGCAGCCTTCCAATACTTGAGGGGCTGCCCCAGAGAGGAGGAGGAGGGGGTCAAGCTATTCTCCAAGGTACCTGAAGGCCAGACAAGGAATAATTGATGGAAATTGAACAAGGAGAGATTCAACCTGGAAATAAAGAGAAACTTTCTGACTGTGAGAACAATCAATCAGTGGAACAGAATTTGCCCTCGGAAGTTGTGGGAGCTTCATCCCTGGAGGCTTTCAAGAAGAGACGGGACTGCCATCTGTCAGAAATAGTATAGGGTCTTCTGCTTGGACGGGGGTTGGACTAGATGACCCACAAGGTCCCTTCCAACTCTGTTAATCTGTTAAAATTCTGGCATGACTCCCTTTCCAACCAAGGGGAATTCTCATCCCTTATTGGGATCGTAAATCTAGGACTAAACTGTACACAGGCCGTCCTTGAGTTATGACCATGATGATGCCCGAAATTCATGTTGCCCACTGAAAACAGTCGCTAAGTGAGTTTTGTCCCCTTTCACGAATTTCCTTGCCCCGGTTGCTGAAGTGAGCCCCTGCAGTTATTAAGTTAGTCACATGGTTGTTGAAGCAAATCTGGCTTCCAACCGTGGACTTCGCTCTGTCAGAAGGTAGCAAAAGGGGGTCCCCTGATCCCCTGGTCATAAATACGAGTCGTTTGCCAAGCGTCCAAATTTTGATTGTGTGACCCTGGGGATGCTGCAATGGTCATAAGCCTGAAAAAACAGTCCCCCCCACCCCCCGTGCCATTGTAACTTTGACTGGTTACTAAACGAACTGTCGCAAGTCGAGGACTTACCTGTGTATGGTATTTGATTCTCTCTCTCTCTCTCCCATAGCAACCTGGAAGGATTCCTGGAGGAATTTGCAGACATCTCCAAGGAGGATCAAATTAAGAAACTCCACGACCTCCTCGGTCCTCACATGTTACGTCGCCTCAAAGCCGACGTCTTCAAGAACATGCCGGCCAAGACGGAGCTGATCGTTCGGGTGGAGCTCAGCCCCATGCAGAAGTACGGGGCAACGTTTGGGGTGGTGGTGGTGTCAAAGTAGCCTTTCCGTGGGGAATTCTATGATTTGGAGGGTTTATTCTTTTTTAGGTCTCCGTGGAGATTATTCTCCCATCATCTCCAGGCAGGGGTGGGATTCAAAAACCCCACCCAACAACCAGTTCTCTGCCTGGTTGCTGGGTGGGCGTGGCCTACCAGAACTTCCGGTTTGGCCATTTTTTTGCCTTCCCCAGAGTCCGGAGGCTTCCCTCGGGACTCCGGGAGGGCGAAAACGGAAACAGGCCCGTTTCCAGATATCCGGTACTTCTGGGGGTGCCGTTTTTCACCCTCCCAGAACCTCCCAGGTGCATTTACCTGCATCCGCAACGGGCTGCGTGGAGGCTCCTGGAAGGGGAGGGGCAGGGTGGGCGGGGCCAGCTGGTTGGTTCAACTACCAGTTCAGCGAACCAGATGTAAATTTAATATCCGGTTCAGCTGAACTGGCTGAATTCACACCCCTGTCTCCAGGTCACAGTTGTCCTAAAGGTGTTTTTATTTTTATTTTTCCCCTTCCAAAGGCAACTGAACTTTAAAAAAAACAAACCAAAAGTCCAGTTGCCTTTTGGGGGGGAAAGAAAAGCACGTTTGGAACTTCTTTTTTAGGGTTTGTGTGTGTTTGAAAGTAAAGTGGGGATACAGTGTTATGATATAAGTTTCTGGGTGTTGGTAAAGTTTTTGTGCACCAGGAACAGGAATTTGTTGAGTTAGAACAGAGATGGAGAACTTTTGAGGCTTGGCAGATCAAAAATTTAGAAAATGGCTGCTTTGATTTTATTGGGTCCCTCTTTCTGTCTCTCTTTTTCTCTCTGTCTTTCTCTTTTCTCTCTCTCTCTCTCTCTCTCTCTTTCTTTTCTCCCTCCTTTGGTTTCTTTTTCTTTCTTTTTCTCTTTTCTCTCTCTCTCTCTCTTGTTCTCTTTGTCATGTACAGAAACACACACGAACACAGATGCAGAAAAGAGGCCTTTGCAAATGTGCGGCCTCTCCTCTAGTCTAGACTCTCTAGAAATCGTGTGATGGAAACTCTGGAGCCCCTGAAAATTGTGTGAGAATGCTGGTATGATTTTCGGAGGCCTCAGATTCCCCACCGCGCGTCAGCGAAGGCAACATGTCATAGGTTTGCCACCAGAACTGAGGGAGTCAGGCTTGAAGTGCTAAAAATGCAACGTGTTAACTTCTTGCCAAAACACAATTATTTTTTTGGACTCGTACAGGAGTTGCTCTCCAAGAGGGATTCGTTGGGCATGATTCACTTTGTGCGTTTGCACAATCTTGTTCAACCAAGCTAGCTAAAGACCTAGCACCGGGAACTTATGGCATGCACGCCAGAGGCGCCACGCAGAGCCGTTTGTGTGGACACGTCAGCCC